TAGCCTCTCCTCTTACTTCTTACACATGTCTATACCATTTTCCCTCCTTATTCCCCTCTCTTTTTGAAGACTTTGTACCCCTTGATCTACTCCATACAAATTAGGGAGACAATTATAGATAATAAGTAGATATATAGCTACAGTCTACCTCATCACATTGAAAAAAGAAGAAGAAAAAAGTGATTTTCTTTCGTTAAAAGTCCCTGTAGTTACATGACAGACTAGAAGCCAGAAGAAGGTGCTTCCAAATTCCCAGAGAAAACATTTATACATATGAAAACTATGAGTTATCTATCCTTTACTACTGAATATATAACCAAAATTTAAATGCTTTTACATGACATTACATTAGCAAAGGTTTTTACTTATACACACATTGCTTTCTTATGATTATTTCTTCATTCAGTGTCATATTCAGGTTTATTAGTGTGGAGAAGGAGTGAACTTGACAGTTGGAGTTACTATACTTGGGTTGGTGATAGATGCTTTGAAGAGAACAGGTAGAGTGGTGTCTGCTGACGTAGTGATGTGTGAGGATTCCCAAGGTGGCCGAGGCTGCTGGTGTTGGCCTGGCAGAAGTGGAGACATGATGGGGATCACGATATCATCCATGTTAGGTAGAACGAATACTTTCTCAAATATAAGTCTCAGTTGCTTCTGTATGAATTCGACCAAGAAAGGTAAGTTAAGAATGCGATCACCAAGCCTGGGCCGTGCCACCATCACCAGTTCAGGAACCCCACGGAAACCGTACCAGAGTCGATCCGCGGGAGGGGGTGGAACATTCAATGCCAAGGTTCCGGCAAGCCGTCTCACCTCAACGCTGAGCTCTATACGTGTGTTACTAACGCCCTGGAGGGCCCGCTGCAGTAATCTCCACTCGGCAGCCTGCTGAAAGTAACGTGATCCGGCTACAGTATCTACTAGTCTTAACAACCGTCGAGAAGTTGGTCCACTGCCCCCAACAGGAAGTCCAGCTTCTGCTGCCAAGCCCTCTTCCTCCCCTTCTTCCTCACTGGAAGACTCTACACTATCGTCTGTGTCAGTATCAAAGTGGAGGTTACGAAGGAGGCGGTCAGAGGATGGGGATCGAGTGTACACTCGTGGTCCACTGGTGTGTGGTGCAGGTTCTGCTGGACTAGGAGGAGATGATGTGTTTGGGGTGTTACCCTCTAAGCCAGTTGTACGTTTAAGCTTCATAAGGTCCAATTTTGTTTCCAAACTCATTGTAAAATTTCCAGAATATTCTACGTTAAGATCAACCCAAAGTCCCCTTGAGTCCACCTGAGGACTACCAACAGCACAGAGTTGGGGTGTGGCTGAGCCCATGTTCACTCCACACACTACAACATCCCCTACAAAGTAAGGAACATGGAGCTTACTTAATTTTCTTTGAACACGTTCTTGCACCTGCGAAGGAAAAAGATCAAGGTATAATTGCAGTACGTTTTTTTCTTTCGAAGAAGCTCCTGCATACAAAAATTAGCTGCAATAATGGATTCATTTTTTTTCTCCTTGGTAACTTGCAAATATTTTCAATGTGGAATGTAATTTACACCTTGCTGAAACTATCTCAAATAAGCCTACAAGCTGTGATGTATACAAAATACATATCACCTAACAGTGTCTGCTAGTCAGCCATTTTTGGTCTAATCTAAATGAAGTTTAATGCTATTGACTGTCCTATTATGCTTTCAATTGTGTGTCAAGTTTCAGGTAAAAATCTCCAGTGATTTGTGTGTCATGAGCAGCAACAATACTGAGGACAGACAAAAATAGTTCTTTTCATGTTAGAGTAAAGATGTATGTAAGATAAAAGGATCAAGTAGACAATTAGGTCCAGTTGTCTGCTTACAGTACTGTACCTTGTTGGCCCAATATGGGTTACGTAAAAAATCATAAAAGAGTCGTCCTGCCAGAGCATTGATCCAAGCTACATTGGCTGGACCTGGTGTTCCATCAGAAGACATTCCTCCGGGCTGATAGAGGAGCCGGGCCATGTACCGCTCAAAGTCCATTTCCGGGGGAGTTGAAGCTGCACCTTCCTACAAATACAAAATTTAATGTTTCTTATGATCCTTAAAATTTTCAATTAAAAAAATATATAAAATAAATAAAATATACTTGTACCAATCCTCCCATATACCTGTACAGTACAGTACAGTATCTAATTTTTCATATTCTATAAACATCCACTATTTCTCTCACTGCTAAAGTCAATCTTAATACAGTACATCTTCATTCATTTCCCTCTTATATTAAGTTAATTTTGAAGGCCTCTAAGCCTCCTAGTGTCTGCTTTCGACATTGTACCCCACGAAAGGCTGAAAATCAAACTGGAAGGGTACGGAATTCGGGGATAGAAGACTTTCTACATGACCGCAAGCAGTGTGTGGTGATTAATGGTACAAAATCATCATCTGTACCTGTCACAAGTGGGGTACCACAGGGCAGTGTATTGGGCCCGCTGTTGTTTGTTTGTTTCATAAATGACATGCCTAACGTTGTACACTCCTCCATACAAATGTTTGCGGATGACGCCAAGTTATTTCGGGAAATTAAGAACCAAGCGGACTGTGAAGAGCTGCAGAAGGACCTCTGTGGGGTCCAGGAATGGTAGAAGAAATGGCTGCTGAGATTCAATGTTCAATGTCACGAAGTGTAAGAGGATGCACCTGGGGAGTACCAACGGTAAGGAGGCGTATCATATGTCCCAACGGGATGAAGAAACTGCACTAGTTGAGACTGTGTGTGAGAAGGACCTAGGTGTGTATGTTGACAATGAGCTGAAGTTCTCTGGCCATTGTGAGAAGAAGGTAACTCAGGCAAATAAAATATTGGGTCTTATAAGAAGGTCGTTCAGATATCTAGAAGGTCCGTCCCTCGTAACGATCTTCAGGAGTGAAGTGCTTCACCATCTGGAGTAATGGCACCCCATCTGGTCCCCGAGATATGCTAGGGACTGTCAGTTGGTTGAAAATGTTCAAAGGAGGGCCACCAGACTGGTGCCTGCACTTCGGCACCTCAGCTACCCTGAGAGATTGGAGTGCCTGAACTTGCCTAGCTTATACTACAGACGGGCAAGGGGGGACCTAGTTGAGGTGCATAAGCATCTCATGGGGCACTACTCGGTTGAGTGTCCTTACTTGGAGCTGGTGGACGCTTGTGGCTTCTTCAATCTTGAAGAAGCCGCAAGTCCAGAAAACCGTGAGGGCAAACTTTTTTGGAGTGAGGGTTGTAAATTTTTGGAACAATCTACCAGAGAGTGTTGTGACGGCACCGAGTGTGAGCTCTTTCAAGACAAGACTTGACCAACACTGGAGCGGGTTCAGGTACATTCAGGAGCCGGTGCATGCCCAGTATTTGCCAACAGTGCATGACAGAGACGTGACCGATCGCCCGAGCGGCTAGCGAGCCGATCTTTTGGTGAAGAAGATAAATGAAAAGGAAAAGTAATCAGAGACGTGTCTGATCGCCCAAGTGGCTAACAAGCCGATCAGTGGCGAAGAGGATAAAAGTAAAAAAAGTAAAAGTAAAATACTTTTCTGAATAAATTACTTACTGTAATTGAGTTACTTTTCTTTTTAGTACTGTACCTTTCCGTTACTTTCATTTGAGTAATGTTTCAGACATATACAGTCCAGTGTTCTTACCTCGTTGTTTACTTTTCCGACTGAGCTTACAAGAGTTACTCATTTGGATAGGGTAGTATATAAATGTGGAAGGAGTTCACTTTTGGATTTTTTTAGATTTCAAACTCCAAAGCTGAAGAATTGCTAATATCAACATGGTGTGCTTCACTCAGTTTGTATTGGGGTTGTTTACAAGTCACACGCTCATGTTATCTGTAAAGTCAAAGCTGCTTGCTCTAGCAGGTCACATGTATTGATGCATGAGATAAGGACTGAGATAGAAAATATAACAAAACATGATCACTCTTGCCTGTTGATGTTCCTTTCCTTGGTTAAACAGGGTTTCTGGTATCCCTTCAAGAAGAATGGTATCACCTACTTCCTGGTTTGAAGGCTTGTGACTGGGTGAAGACTGTGGTTTCACTGCAAGTTCTGATGCTGCCACCAAACGTCTGAACCTACAGTTAATAGATGAAAATGAGATAGAAAATTTTATTTAATCTTCCTCTGGTAATACTCTACAGCATGAAATGAAAGGGAACATAGCAACTAAAAATTTGCTCAAAACATGTTATTCATAAAAATAAGATACAAATTTGTAAATGCTGTTTGATAAACAAGTTAATATGGTAATTCAGTACAGTATATGTTATTTAAAACTATTAAACAAAACTATTAAACAATCCAAATACTGATTTGAAGAAGATTTTAAACAAGTTATATACTGTAGAGTACCTGACATTCTTGCATTAACCAACTGAGACTAACAAATCTATTCCATATTCCTCAGTAACTGTATCATCTTACCAGTCGTCTTTCTCTCGGTCAGAACGAGCAAAGAGATAAAGAGACTTCTCTTGACACATATCTGGTGTAACCTCTTCAAATGAAGCCATGTCCAGTGATGATGTCATTAAGTCGTCTTCTCCAGATGATTTATTGTTGTCTAAGCTCCAGTTCCCTTCTACACTTTCTGAACTACCCTGTCGTCCAAGATCTGTTCAAAGAGTATTACGGTACAGTACAGTACATATAATAAGAAATATAATAATAGTTATGATCATTATGATGATAATAATAATAATAATTATAATAATATTTCCGTCAGCTGGAAAAATTGGTGCAGAGCACTTCTGGGAATGAGAGATTTCTGGGAATTTTCCAGGTAACGGAAAAATTTTCTTGAAAGTTCCAGAAATTGCGCATTACATCATCTCTCGAGCCTGGAAAAATATTCCCCATACCCGGAATTTTCAGGGCATCAGAAATTTTTTCTCAAAATTCGGGGAAAATGCACCGGATTTTCATCTCTCAAACTCGGAAAAAAACTCTGCCATCCCTGGAATATTTGGAGATTTTCTGGGTACAGGAAAGCCTCTGATAACGACAGTTCTACTAACATCAATTCATATTTAATACCCTGGTTAATTTAGGACCCAATTCAATTTACACCATTATTTTCTTTGTATTTACGACAAAAATACGTAGATTAAAAAATCAAATAAAATTACATTTTCATAAAAATAATAACTAAATTCCGATATGTATCATAAAAAAAAAGCTTGCGCACGGAGGCTGCCGGGCTTGTGAGCGATGACGCCAGCATCACTAGTATAAACAGTTGCAGCTTGGCGGGCCTTTTGTTTTCATGCATCTGAACAGGAAAAGGAGAAAAACTTTTTCATGTTGTTAAGACATTTTTGCATCCCTATTCAACATGAGCTAAAAGAAAGTGTATAAGCTTAGCCGAGAAACTAGATGTGTTAAAACGATATGAAAAGAGTGAGAGGTTTGTGGATATTTTATGGAGCAAGCAATGAACATATTTTGTTAAGTGGATCCATCAACAGAACGAAGCATTAAAATTAACAGGGACGTGAAAAATGCATATGACCTCTACATAAAGATGTACAGTATAATGAGAAAAGAAAGCAAATGTGCAAGGTTCTTTTGACAGTTTTATTATTTGAAGGCCTAAACCATCAACTTCAGCTCCATCATCAAATTCAGCATCATAAGCAGCTTCAGGTTCAGTAACAGTTTCAGCAGCAGCTATGACATCTTTATGGAAAGCTACAGCTTCAGCCAGAGTTGAACCTACAGCTTCAGCCAGTTGAAACTACAACTTCAGCTAGAGTTGAACCTGATGACTTCGTCAACTGAGTAAAACTCGCACAACATTCATTGGTGGTCCTATGTTTTAGATTTTACCACCATTGGTGAATATAATTTTTTTTTACATTCTTAAGTTTTATTTGAATTATATATGAACAGTAATAAATGTTGCTTTCATATTCTTATGTAGAGAAATGACAATATGTTTTCACGTGCGCACTATGTACATAAGTTGGCATTCCCAATCCGTCTTGCTTTTTTCTTTACCATTAGTGGTTTGCTACTTTTATTGTTTCATTTATTAACATTAAATAACATTTACTTAAAACATACATACAGCATGCCCCCAAGTTCGTGCATTTTTACTTCGCGGTTCTCTATTATTCATGGATGACACCCTGGATGTACCCAAGAATGTCTAAGAGTAGTTTTAAAGTTGACGGCATTTTTGCGGCTGAGACAGGGAGCCATTCGTTCTAGAGACAGTAATTTTCTCTCACAAAATAATTAAATCAGAAACAAATTTATTAAAAATGTGACAGTCTACCCTCAAGTCCGTGCTCTATTATTAAAGTACGTACTGTAATAGAGTACGAACTTGAGGGTAGACTGTCACATTTTTATTAAATTTGTTTCTGATTATTTGTGAGAGTATTTTCCAATTACAGCTGCTCCCTGACTTACGACGGGGTTAGGGACCCAAATCCAGGTCGTAAGTCGAAAATGATTAAATAATACATAGAAAATCTAAAATGGGTGTCACTTTTTCTTCTCAGCACCACAAAACTCTCAATTACAAACAAAAATTTTGTCAGAACACAGCGCAATTACTGACATTGGGACTCGAAAATACGTAATTTGACACAATTTTGGTACAACTGAAGCGGTAGTATGTCCAGGTGGTCGTAAGTCGAGTAGGTCGTAAGTCGGGGAGTAGCTGTATTATTCATTTGTATGCATTTTGTGTGTGTGTGTGTGTGTGTGTCTGCACATACAATACTACAGGTGAAAGAAATAATGGTCCTAAGGGCAAACACATAAAGGGAATATACATTTCTTTGTACACAAGTAAGAATGTAATCCCCCCCTCCCCCCCCCCGCCCGCAAATTTTATTCGCGGATTTGGCGATTCGTGGCCATTTCGAGAACTTAACCCCCGCGAATTTGCCCCCCCCCCCTGTATTATTTCTTTTACATTAATTTTACTACAGCTACAACCAGGGTCTTATTTTCTTCAATTTCAGATGGATAACTGACATTATTAGTATAAACACTGTCAACAACAATGGCATCCCATCTCCTCTTGTGTGACCATATTATTATTGATTTATACAGTGACCCCTCGTTTAACGAACTCAATCCGTTCCAGAAAGTCGTTCGTTAACTCAAAAGTTCGTTAACCGAAACCATTGTTTCAATGAGTTTTTGGGTAATTGGTTCCAGCTCACCGAAAATTTCCTAAATTCAACAAAAATGGTAGAAAAGTTCACTTACTTTGAGGTGTGCATGTAGAAGGCTCCTGAATGATGATGATGATGATGTGCATTTGAAGTGGGAGGTGGAGGAGGAGAAGAGAGAAGAGAAGGAAGTGGAGGTGGAGGAGAAGCATTTTACTGCTTCTTGGAAGGTGAGTCACCTTCCATGAAAATGTCAGGAACCTCTGGACTGACAGATTCTCCACCATGAACATCCTCTCTCCTTCTTGAAGTAGAAGGCTGAGGGCTAGCATCTTGTTCCCTCTGCCTTTTACTGAAGAAAGTGTCAATTGTGGTCTGTGGGGCACCTGTCCTCCTCACCATTAACTTATGTTTAAAGAAGGAGACCACTGAGTCCTCAACATGACACAAAGTTAGTTCAGTTTTTTCCACTTCTGGGTGCTTTGAAGCCAGTTCCCTGAACTTCTCCCAGTAGTAAATCACATCTTTCAACTGTTTAGCTGACATATGGTCATCACTTTCAATTTCTTCCTCACCACTGTCAGCCTCTACCTGTAACATCTCATTCAGTTGCTTCAAGTCATCAGGAGTAAGTTCCTCCTCATGAAACATCACAAGCTCTTCCACATCCGCCTCCTCCACTTCAAGGCCCAATGACTGACCAATGGACACAATCTCCTTGTCCAACTCTGTTTCTTCCTCAAATCCCTCAAAATCATGGACTACTGATGGCCACAGTGCTTTCCATGAAGAATTGAGGGATCTACTGGAGACTTCTTGCCATGATGACACAATCAATTTTACAGCCTCCAGGACGTTGAATTGTGTCTTCCAGAACTGTTTCAGTGTTAGTTCAGGATCATTGGAAGTTGCCTGATGACACCTCCTAAACATTTTCTTCATGTACAACTTCTTGAAGTTGCTGATTACATTCTGGTCCATTGGCTGTATGATTGATGTAGTGTTGGGAGGCAAAAACAACACTTTCACAAAGTCAAATTGATACTCCAAATAGCTGGCAAGGTCAGGGTCATGACCAGGAGCATTATCCATGAGGAGAAGAATCTTTAAAGGGAGTTTATTGGTGGTTAGGTATCTCTTGACAGAAGGGCAAAACACATCAACAGCCCATTCATTGAAGAGCTGTCTAGTCACCCATGCCTTACGATTGGACTTCCAATAAACTCCAAGTTTTGTTCTTACCACTTTCTGTTGCTTGAACACCCTGGGGTTTTCAGAGTGGTAGACAAGCATAGACTTCAGTCGGAAATCCCCTGAAGCATTGGCACCAAGCAATAGAGTGAGACGGTCTTTCATGGGTTTATGCCCAGGTAAAGAGGCTTCATCTCTGGTGATGAATGTTCTTGTGGGCATCTTTTTCCAGAACAGCCCAGTTTCGTCCACATTGAACACTTGCTGTGGAAGATAATTTTCTTCTTCCATCAGTTTTTTAAATTCAACTAAAAACTTTGCTGCCCCTTCTTTATCAGCACTAGCAGCTTCACCATGCCTAACAACACTTAAAATGTCACTTCTTTTCTTAAATTTTTCGAACCAGCCTTTGCTGGCCCGAAAATCTTCAAATTCTGTGCCTGAAGAACCAGGTTGATCTGCCTTTAAATGTTCATAAATCTCCCTGGCTCTTTCACAAATGAAATCACCAGAAACTGAATCACCTTTCATCTGTTTTTCCCTAATCCAGATGATAAGTAACCTCTCAGTTTCTACGATTAGGGATCTACTTTTAAACACTCTTGTAGATTTGTCTCTCACGTTCACTTCTTTAAATTTGTCTTTCTGTGCAACAATTGTCGACACAGTTGATGCCGACATGCCATATTCTTTGCTAAGCACATTTGATTTAATGCCTTGTTCATGTTTTTTTATTATTTCCTGCTTGGTTTGGATTGAAATAGATTTTCTTGATCTCTTAGGCCCCATGCTGGATTCAAACAATGTCAACACGTGTTTTTCAAAGTTAAACTAGCTGTCAATAAAGAATATTTTCTTTAAAATAACATTGCACTGCGCTATATATTGTCAATATGTAAAATAAATTTCAAAATGACCAATAATTTGCTTGGAAACACAGAAAAAAAGCGTTTAGTTGAAGAGAGTCTCAAGCAAGATGTTACCTCCACTGAAAACACAGAGAGACTAACGCCTGTTTGCTGTGTTAAGAGGCTGGATGCCGCGCATTAAACTAGTCACTTTACCTACAATTATGTTCAATAATTGTTAAAATGACTAAAGAATTGAATATTAAACTTTTAAAATTATTGAATAGTATAAACTTCTTGATATTTACTAAGATAGTAAGGAATTTAAGCCCTAGAACCGATTAATGTATTGGCGGGCTGATACTAAAGCTGGTTGCCAGGTCAGTGCAAGCGAAAACATGTTGAGGTCGGTTCGTAAGAAATTCGTTAACCGAATTTTTGTTCGTTAACCGAATTGAAGATCCTTATGGAAGGCAGTTCGTTAACCGAAATTTCATTAACCGAGGCGTTCGTTAAACGAGGGGTCACTGTATTGTATAAGGTGCATTCATAAACATTATTTAAAGAATATAGTTTACATTTTTCATTAATTTTATTGCTTTGGGGGAAAAGAGGGTAAAAAGCCACACAAAACTTCTGAAAGGTCAGACTTTGGAATGCAACTCATTATTATTGCTTTATTTTAATGGTAATTAATGATTCACGATACGATGATTCACCTTACACTGCAATATTGGAGGACACATTACCGTCGTTATTCGAGGCTTTACCATACTGGTAAAATTTTCTCATAATTTTCCAGAAAATGTGCCCCTAGGAAAATCATTCCCACAGCCGGAACTATCCGGAGAATTGACTTTGGGAAAGATTTTCCGAGAAAATTTCAATTCCGGCTATCAGAGAGTTCCGGTTAAGAAGGATTCCGGCTAATGGAGATATTACTGTACAGTCGACCCTCGTTAATTCGGACCCCTTTAATCCGGATTTCGGATAATTCGGACGAAATCTGAGCTGTCCGTATCAAATTTCTGGTTCTGGGATTGTCCCAGTTGCAATTGGGGTTGCAATTTCAAATTCTGTGTCACTTCTAAGGAATAATGAATTCTCTGGTGTACTCTAAGATTAAGAGAAAACGGACGACTCAGGTGTCCTGAAGTGAGAGAAAACGGACTCCTATGATGGGGCACTCAAATAAAGAGACATGGCTACATGTTTTGTGGACTACCCACTGTGCAGTATCCTTTTCATCACTTTGTAATAAACCTCGTCATGCCTATGTGTGTTTCTGATAATTACCATAACATTATATATTTATATATTTAGCGGTTGTACAAACACAAGGCCTCACACATGCCATTTAGACTGACAGACTTGACAAGTTTTACCAACCATAAAGACAGTTGAAGTTTTAAACATCACTCACAATGGATCTTCAATATTCCAACTGTAATCAGACATACCTAAGTTGCCTCAACAATTGCAACCCCAGTTGCAATATCAAATTCTGTGTCACTTCTAAGGAATAATGAAGTCTCTGGTGCACTCTAAGATTAAGAGAAAACGGACGAGTTCAGGTGTCCTGAAGTGAGAGAAAACGAACTCCTATGATGGGGTACTCAAATAAACATACACATAGCTGTATAATGCAATATTATGCAATATTAACCCCTAAATCGGTTAATTCGGACAATCGGCTAAAACGGACACCCTTCCCCCCCTATTAGTCCGAATTAACGAGGGTCGACTGTACTGTATAGGCTGAGTTATATACTTTAAGATTGGGTTCTAATCAATTTACTACGTTAATAATGGTACTGTAACTCTCCCAAGGAGCTACTGTATAGTTTAGTGCACTGTACAGTACAGTAGAACCTCGATAAACCGGACTAACTGCAGCAGACCCCAGTCCGAAATATAAAAAAGTCTGAGAAAGGCGAATACAGTACAGTATATGGGGGGGAGGGGGAGTTAGAGATAACACTGCTTATCTGAACTGGTTAAAGAAAATCAGTTATGTTATTACTGCACTTCAACAAATAAGGTCTTTAAGTGTATAACAAGGTTATTAAAAGACTATTACATCAACATTAAAAAAAAATATGAAACAACTCTCTGGGTTGAGAATCAGACACATAAGTGTGGTTGTCGTCGAGATGAATGTTGTTTACTATAAAGTGTTGCAAGTAAGTAACCACAGAATTTGTCTTGTGAATAAAGAGAAAACTGTATACTGTACAGTACTATTAAGATAAAAATAAGAACAAATAAGTGTAGGAGTATATTGTATGTGGAAGACGAGTGTACATCTAGGAGCAGCTGGCAGAGGGGAGAAGGCGGTTGGGTGGCTCTTTCCCCCAAGATACCTTTAACACGTCTTTATGAAATTTCACCACAATTCTCATATAATTTAGGATCATTTGGTGCCAGGTAGATAAAATATTATAAAAAAAGAATCAACTTTCCTGAAAAAAGAATCCCACACTGAACATCATGAGCCATTTGTTTACAAAGGCCAAACTGTTTGGCACAAACAGCTAATAGGCTAAGCTGCCTACCACAACATCTGTCTTCAACACTTTATAAATTAGTACAGTAGTGTATTTATCACCACTTAATAACTACTACTGTAGTGTATTTATCATCACATAATAACTACTACTGTAGTGTATTTATCATCACATAATAAGTAATCCTGTAGTGTATTTATCATCACATAATAAGTAATCCTGTAGTGTAAAGTATTATCTATCTACATATACCCTGGTTTATTCATTAATCAGTTGTCTAAGTGGACAAGTAGCCAAAGTGAGCCAACATGTATCACTTAAAGGTAATAAGTAATGTTGTTGGGAAGGTTTCTTCATATTAAATACTATACAGTGTGTTATAGTGACCCTGTTGTAAGCTGGTCTGCTAAAAGCTCACACACGAATGCATCCTAAATGAAGACCTTCCGATACAGCTTATCCTTTTATTTCCAAGTCATATTACAAATTACACACAGTATTGTATTTTTTCTATTACTGAAGCTGTTATATTAATCATGATGAACTATAAACCATAAGAGGCCAATCATATGAGAATATAATACTGAATCAATGAATATATAAACCAGACATATATGGCAACACCTGATCAGCACCAGTCTGCTTACAGTGTCTTAGTTCTCGGTAGGCCTATTGCAAATTTGATTAGACCACTGTACAGTATTCAGTAAGTGTTGTTCATTTCATAAGATTGTTTTTGTATTTTTGGTGACCACAGCATCTCAGAGTCCGAAAAAAGCAAATTCCAATTTATTGAAGTCCGATTTATCGAGGTTTTACTTGTATACAAAATATAAGCACAACTTGGTTCTGTTTATGAAGTGGAGCTGTCCAGGCTACCACCTGTTCTAGGCAGGAGGAGGGAAGGCTATGTGGCACAAGCTGACGTAGCACTGAGTTTCATCTACGCTAATCCTTCAGCAGTGACTCACCTCCCAAACCCCCTTTCTAAGGGGCAAGGTTGATATGGGATAGTTGCATTAATTGTTTGAATTACTGGACAGTGCTGCCAGCTGTCTGTGTTGAGAGTTTAATCTGGGTGGTAACCTACACACTTGATGGCTACAATACCTGAGTCTTCGTGGACCAACATGACGCTGTAAAACATAAATTACTGAACCTCAATAAGGTTACAGTGCAAATATAATTTTCATGTAACTGACAGATGCACTATTGGCCTCTAATACAGTAGTGGGGACCGATTAAAAATTTAGGGACTGACCTTATTGTATACAGTATCCTACTGAAGAATTCTCAGGACTTAAAAGAATATATTAAATCATACAGCGTAATACAGAAATACCAAACCAAGTGTAATTACTCACGTGAGCTTGCAAAATGTGTTGGGCTACCATGAGCTGAACCAGTTGGTGTTGATGCAATGGACATTGGAGAAGGTGAGCTTTCCTTGGACCCACACTGAAGACGGATGCATATTGGGTATTTGCGACTCCACAACCTTAAAAGCAAATACTCCTCAATAGTCTACCATAATTGAAAGCATTTTCTCCAAATATTTATGCAATATGAGGGATTGAAGAGGCCTGGGATTTGTGACTTATGAAGAATACATTTTAAGTCAATGGGATAAACTACAGTGAGATGAAGAGTAACAAATATGTTTAGGGATTACTTAAGGTCAAGGTCAAAGCACACAATTATCCATTATCAGATAAATGAATTGATCCAGACATCAGATGAATATATTGTATATAGGTCAATCTTGCAGGACGCTGGATCAGAATGAACACTGTAATACAGTACTGTACAGTCTGTAGAAACATTTAAGTCTTTAGTTAATGTTATGATGACAAAGAATAGAGTTTTGTCACTAGTATCATGAAAACAAAACATAAGAACTCGATAAAGAAATGCTTGGCACTATTCATACCTGCAGATTACCCCTTCCCCCTGCTTATTATAGCTTAAGGTTAACCACGCTTATGCTCTAACCTAACCTGTTAATCCCCTTAAAAACCTTCCCTCCTTAATTTTACCAAATGTTTTACACATTTACACCATACCACAACAGTTCTCTATGCACTTCTTAAACTAACTAAACTGAGCTACAGGACTACACAATAAAGACTCAAGCTCATTACATACCATCTTCGTGGCAAATTTCGCGGCATCAGCATGACCTGACATCCAGCAATATCATACTCTCGATGGTGTGTAAATGCCAAGTTGCGTATTTCTTCTTTCAATCTGGCATGCTTGGGAACTTTCCCTATAAAACAATCTAAAATTAAAAACCTCATAATATCAACATTTTAAAATTTTAATACAGTACAGTAGGTACCTATACAATCAGTGTCAAACTGTCATTGTATACAATAACCTTTATCACTAATATTTTATTTTTTGCTTTGTGTATGGTATGTCTACAATTTTTATCCATTGTATAAAATATCCTTGATTCTTGTAGCATGACACAAAGTCTATGCAGTATACGTACATTACTGTATAGTTTGAAAATAAGGCGTAAATTTTCTGTGTATTATGTCTGATTTCAAAGAGAGAAATGGAGAAATAACTATTGGTACAGCACAGTACAGTAGAGTATGTACCTGACCAGGTTGGTGTTACCTTACTGACCAAGTCAAAGTTTATCTCATTTAATACAACCCCGAGTTGTCCAATGTTGCTGGTACACTAATCAACTAACCCATTGTGTGAGTTATAAAAACTCAATTTTGTTTTGAATAAGAGTCAAGCAGCTAATAAACACATACTGTAACTAAAATCAATGTGACAAAGTCAGGAAAAGTCTGACCAAAAGTTTTGCATTAACTAAATAATGGTGCACTGCCTTAAGTCATGAGGAGAAACTACCGCCTTCCAGGCCAGGTATGGATCCCCTGGTTTGTTTTGTGCAGCAAGCAAAGTCAATTTTTAGTGTGACTGTATGTTGTGTGAAACTCAGTGGCACTGATCAGATGCTACACTACTTCTGGCCCCACTGCATATTAACATATCCTAAGCCTACAGGAAAAACCTTGCTTGGCAATAAGGTATACTGGCATCTTACTGAATGCTATCAACCATGTTTCATCAACTTTTTTTTGTTACACATGCAAGTCTTTTACAATTTTTTCTAAATACAGTATCTATGTTTATTCTTTATTGCAGTCTGTGGAGAAGAAAGTTTGAAAGATGGAAAAAAAATAGAAGCACTCATACATCTTACTTCAGTATATTGATTTCTTACACAATGATAAAACAGCCAACAAACCTCTAGGGTGATCCATCTGCAGTTTAGATCCTTGAAGTCTTAATAATACAGAATGGGTAAGAGTCACATGGTAAGTGTCTGGGCTGTAGTCTCCCTCAAGTTCATTCATCCAGCCCTGTGACATAAAATAATTGATGCTTTAAGAAAACAACAAAGATCCACCAATATTAGTTTTCACCATCTTGTCAACAACAAAACCTCACTCACTCTTTCAGTCACTCACTCTCACTCTTTCACAGTCACTCAAATTCACTCACTCACTCTGGGTAACAATCAATATGTGCAACACTGAATTAGACTCTGGAGAAAGGCTGTTTACCCACAATGAATATTTTTTCTAATTCACAAATTATCAATAAATTTTCCAAAATGCTGAAGGCAACTCAATCAATTCATCAAACACTTGAGCCACCTCTCTTATGTAGTCAGGATCAAAAGTCCGCTTCTCCCAAAATGAAGCAGTATCGAGCTTATATGAGATAAAACATCACACCCACACCAGATGACAGTCAGGGTATGTCAATTCGGAGACTAATTCACGTTACTCACTTTCACCACCACTGGGAGAGAACTTTAGTCTGTGATTGTGAGATGGACCAAGGGACATAACATTAAGGACAATATGGAATAGACTACTGTACTGGAGAGACTAAACAACACTTGGTAGGCAGAAATAAATGAACTGGAATTTGAATGAGCTCTAAATTTGCTTGTTCTGACTAGCACTTAGTTCACATCTGCCTGGAATTGACTACTCTATCTATAAAAAAAATATATAAATAAAAAAATAAATAAAATAAAAGTCAATATTTAACTAATCAAAATTAACCAATGTAAAGCCTAATTATGATCTTTACCAATAGACGGCAAAATGAACTAAAATACGAAATTACTCTTTTATGATCAAAAACTTATAATGAAGAGACAGACCTTATACAACTGCTGATCTTCATAAGCCGGAAGTGTTAACAATACTGGTCCATCATCAACTGGAGGTAGTTCTGGGGTGGGTGGTAGCAGGAAGTGAAGGAGGCAGTAGAATATTATCCCAGACACCATAATGCCAACAAAGAGACCAGCCAAGAACCTTGGCATGGGTAAAATAAAACACAAAAAAAACACAGCCACTGAAATTTTTGACAAAACTGACACTGATACTGGCAACATATTCACTAACTGTAGAAACTGTTCTCTTAATGTCAAGTCCTTTACTACCTCAGCCTGTAATGAAGGCTTTCTCTTTTTGGGAGACGGCTTTGGAGTCTGGGATTTACTTTGGTCAGCACTTTCTTTGTCCTTCTCTGTGGGAGTGTCGCCAGGGTCTGCCACAGCAAGGTCTTCATGGAACAAACTGGCATCCTCCTGTGCCTCAACGGCTCTATCTACTTCAACTTCATCACATTCAAGAAGCATTTCCTCCCCCAGTCCCTCATCTCGGCCAAGGAGAGAAGTAAAAGGGAAAGTTTTATTCTTTGTAGTGTCTTTACTGTTCCTGGAGCTGTCCTTACTACTTCTCCGATGGCGCAGTTCTGAGAGCTTTGGTCTGATGTTACCAAACTCAGATTTGATCTTACTTGTGTGTTCAGTTATGTCTTGCACTATACTGGTCTTAGACTTAGGAGGAGAACCAGTCAGCTCGGCCTTTAAGGATTTACTGTCATCAACAGCTCTTTGTACAATATCAATGGATTTTCTATTATCCTTTGACGTAGGGGATTTGTCCCCACTAGCAGATCCACCATCACTTTCTGTGGAACCTTCCCCACTTATTCCTAAACGATCTTTTTCCTTGTCTTTTTCACCTTTGACATCTTTCTCTTTTTCTTTTCGAATTTCATTAATCTTATCCTCAAAAGTTTTGGTGAGTCTAGACAGAAGGCCACCACTCTCAGAAGACTTAGTGGGTGCAGGATCGACCAAGGGCGCACTATTACTATCTAAGCTGGAGGAACGTTTGCCGAAGGAACGACCGAAACTTTCCTTTACCGGCGATGAATCTCGTAAAGACTCGACCCGAAGAACACCAGCAGAGTTCGCTTCTAAAGATGATCCCAGGGAGACGTCACAAGATATGTCATCCAATTCTGTAATACGGAGAATAAATATAAGTTATCTTGTACTTCCTTCCCTCTGAGTGTTGAAGACAGCAACACCTTGCAGGGGAAAAACAATCTTGACACAAATAACCTACAGCATCACACACCAGCCAAGTGTGGAAAATGACCACACAACACTGATGATGAAAGTGTGTGTGTGTTTTTTTTGGGGGGGGGGGGAATAATACACCTGTAGTGTACTTGGGATAACTATAAAGATAACTATAAGAGAGCATCATCACATATGAAGTAACATCAGTAAAGTAATACAGGTACTGTATCCATAAAAACTCAAAAAATAAAACTCTCTCTCTCTCTCTCTCTCCCTCTCTCTCCCCCTCCCTCTCTCCACAATTAATATTCTGTACACCTGTTTTACCAACCACAGTCAGTATAGTAACCCCTCATTTTACACAATTTGTCACTTTTCTCTTCACACAATTCTTTCTTTTCATTTCAACACACTCAACATGGTTCAGATGTACAGTAGTCCCCGAGAGACCAGCTGTAACACACTCATATGGTGTTCCAGTGTAGGCAGCAACCGTTCTCTCTCAGTTGCGCGGTGACTATTGTCAAATCACCTTCTTTAACTACAGTACAGTATACAGTTGAATATAGTTAAATAGAATAACTCTTGTAGAAATGTTTTGATATTCAATTGTTTTTTGTACTGCAGGTTGTATTTGTAGTGTTTTTTTTTCATTATTTATATTTTGTTAATATGCTTCTGTTTCCATGCATTAATAAAAATAGGCAACTACAGACATTTTTACTCCACCCTACACTGTACTATACTACTGTACTGCGTATATATTTACTCTAAGAAAAAGTAAAGATTAATATTGTTAACCCAAAATATATCTACAGTAATTTCATCTCTTTTAACTTACCTTCCTCGGGATCCGACACTTGTGTGATGTTTTCTGCCGAAGGATTGAACCTAAAGCTAATACTCGGTACACTCTGGTTTGATGACCGACCTTTCAGCAGTGCCAGCGAAATCTTGGGGCTGCCGTCCCTTCCACTCATGGTTGCAGCCTGCAAAGACCGAGTTAACATTAACAATATTAATCATTAAGGTGACCGTGGCTACTGCCATAACTTCACCAGCCAACATCATGTCTACCACTGCAGCTTTCTCTGCTTTATAGAGGTGAACTTAACAAAGGAATGTCTTGAGAATAAAACTTTAATTAAATACTTTTTATATAATGTACCCATGGTTGAGAAATGTGATACTCTGTACGCATCAATTTCTTCATTACCAAAGAAATGAACATAAAAGAAAACAAGAATTCTTTCTCCTTCCATAAACTTTTCCACCACACACACCTCCATTACCCTCTGTGTGTACACCAACCTAACCGTTCAGGTCACCACTAACTACTACAATCTCTTTCACCCAACTCCAACACTACAAGCATCAACTCATCCTTCATTCCTTACTCAGTCCAACTTATAGGGTGTACTGTACTGTACACTGTACAGTACAGTATGTAGATATGACAGTCACCAGATCTTTGCTTACTAGCAGCTTCACAACCATGATTCTTGCATTCACCCTCTTCATCTCTAGCACTGAACCTATCAACCTTGGGCTATCAATATCCCTACACTACCTATTCCTGATTCCCTCCACTTCCAGTATATCTTGTAGCTATCGTTTTAACTAGTGACAATCATCGCTGAACCACCTTTCCACCTCATTTCTTGTCCACACCAGATGTTAAATTTTCTGCAGCTCGATGTCTCAATGACTTCATCTGCTCTTTCACACATCGAGCCAATGTTCAGGCTACCATCATAAAATATAAAACAGTAGCTCCACATTTTTACCGTCAGAAAACTTTACATTTTTAACCTCACTCTGCCATATCATCCACTACCTGTCTTAAGCTGAACATATACATTTTGATTTGTTACATATCTCACCTTTATTTCTTGCCATTTACTGAGAGCCATGCTGCATCATTTGCCACTTAACAAAAGACAAAAAATGTAGTCCTGTCTGTGATGTCTTCTGAATCATACAAACACAAAAGCCAAGTACATTATCTGATATTTATCATAATCCTTATCTTCTAGCCAATCAGCTGCTTTGTAGCTAACATTACTGATAACCATACTTCAGCGTTAACGTCCTCTGTTGTTGGTACAGCGGCAACGCACGTATCTCTCACGACTATGTCATTGGGTTCAACTCCTGCTTGGCCCAGACACACAGAGCAACCGCTGATAAGAGGTGAAATGATAAATAAAAAAAGTAAAATAAATTATTGGAATGCCACACAATGGAGAAAGAGATAACCTTCTCTACATGCAGCAGAAACATCACACCACATACAAAATAACTCGGCTACCAAATGTACCAGAATTATGACACATTATAATAGCCAGTACTCATAGAAAGATTATAGACCTCTCCTGTGTTCACCCCCACTGCTGTATGTAATGGAGGACATCATCACAACACCAAGCTCTCACCCAACACGCTCTTACTGGGACAGGTAGCTACAAAAATGAGCTGAAGTAAGTACACTATCAGACACACGATGACATACAGTACACGTTGTGTGAAATTCATTTTATAAAGCCAAAAGAAAATGCAGAGGGAAAGAGCTATTAGTACAGTGATCCCTCAGTTAACGAGCGCCTCGGTTAACGAGATTTCGGTTAACGAATTACCTTCCATAAGATTCTTAACTTCGGTTAACGAGCATTCCCTCGATTAACGAAGTCCTTACGAGCGCCCCTCAACATGTTTTCGCTTGCACACTAGCTGTCGTATTAGTCCGCCAATACAGTAATCGGTTCTAGGGCTTAAATTCCTTACCATTTTAGTAAATATCAAGAAGGTTGTACTATTCAATCATTTTAAAAGTTTTATATTAATTTTTGTTGTCATTTTAACAATTACTGAACATAATTGAAGTATAGGAAACTAGTTTTATGCGCACCAAACAGCCTGTCAACACACCAAGCAGGCATCAGTCTCTGTGTCTTTTCAGTGGAGGTAACATCTTGCTTCAGACTCTCTTCAACATAAATGCTTTTTTTCTGTGTTTTCAGTCAAATTATTGGTCATTTTGAAATTTATTTTACATATTGATGATATGTAGCGCAGTGGAGTGTTAATTTAAAGAAAATATTCTATATTTACAGCAATTAAACCTAAAATATCTCGTGTTGAAATTGATTTTTAATCCAGCATGGGTCCCAAGAAATCTAGAAAAGCAATTTCAATTCAGATGAAACAGGAAATAATTAGAAAACATGAAGAAGACATTAGAACAAATGTGCTTAGCAAAGAATATGGCATGTCGATATCAACTGTGTTGACAATTCTTGCACAGAAAGCCAAATTCTTAAGGAAGTGAAAGTGAGAGACAAATCTACCAGAGTGTTCAAAGGTAGATCCCTAATAGCAGAAACAGAGAGGTTACTTCTCATCTGGATTAGGGAAAACAGATGAAAGGTGATTCAGTTTCTACTGAATTTATTTGTGAAAGAGCCAGGGAAATATACGAACATTGAAAGGTAGATCACCTGGTTCTTCAGGCACAGACTTTGAAGATTTTAGGGCCAGCAAAGGCTGGTTCGAAAAATTTAACAAAAGAAGTGACATATTTAGTGTTGTTAGGCATGGTGAAGCTGCCAGTGCTGATAAGGAAGGGGCAGCAAAGTTTTTAGTGGAATTTAAAGAACTGATTGATACAGAAAATTATCTTCCACAGCAAGTGTTCAATGTGGACGAAACTGGGCTGTTCTGGAAAAAGATGCCCACAAGAACATTCATCACCAGAGATGAAGCCTCTTTACCTGGGCATAAACCCATGAAAGACCGTCTCACTCTACTGCTTGGTGCCAATGCTTCATGGGATTTCCGACTGAAGCCTATGCTTGTCTACCACTCTGAGAACCCCAGGGTGTTCAAGCAACAGAAAGTGGTAAGAGGACGGCTTGGAGTTTATTTGTTAGTCCAATCGTAAGGCATGGGTGACAAGACAGCTCTTTAATGAATGGGCTGTTGAGGTGTTTTGCCCTCCTGTCAAGAGCTACCTAACCACCAATAAACCCCCTTTAAAGGCTCTTCTCCTTATGGATAATGCCCCTGGTCATGACCCTGAACTTGCCAGAACTTTGGAGTCTCAATTTGACTTTGTGAAAGTGTTGTTTTTGCCTCCCAGCACTACATCAATCATACAGCCAAAGGACCAGAATGTGATCAGCAACTTTAAGAAGCTGTACATGAAGAAAATGTTCAGGTGTCATCAGGCAACTTCCACTGATTCTGAACTAACACTGGCACAGTTCTGGAAGACATGGTTAACATCCTGGAGGTTGTAAAATTGATTGTGTCCTCATGGCGAGAAGTCTCCACAAGATCCCTCAATTCTTCATGGAAAGCACTGTGGCCATGATTTTGAGGGATTTCAGGATGAAACAGAGTTGCACCAGGAGATTGTGTCCATTGGTCAGTCATTGGGCCTTGAAGTGGAGGAGGATGATGTAGAAGAGCTTGTGATGTCTCATGAACAGGAACTTACTCCTGAAGACTTGCAGCAACTGGATGAGATGATAGAGGCTGACAGTTGTGAGGAGGAAACGGAAAGTGATGACCATAGGTCAACTTCAGAGTTGAAAGATGTTGTTCACCACTGGGAGAAGTTCAGGAAACTGGCTTCAAGGCACCCAGATGTGGAAAAATCTGAACTAGCTTTGTGTCATGTTGAGGACACAGTGGTCTCCTTCAAACATCAGTTAATGATGAGGAGGAGAGAAGCCCCACAGACAAAAATTGACACTTTCTTCAGTATAAGGCAGCGGGAAAAAGATGCTAGCCCTCAGCCTTCCACTTCAAGGAGAGAGGATGTTCATGGTGGAGAATCTATCAGTCCAGAGGTTCCTGAAATTTCCTGGAAGGTGACTCACCTTCCAAGAAGCAGTAAAATGCTTCTCCTCCACCTTCACTTCCTTCTCTTCTCCCTTCTTCTCCTCCACCTCCCACTTCAAATTCACATCATCATCATCATCCAGGAGTCTTCTACATGCACACCTCAAAGTAAGTGTACTTTACTACCTTTTTTGTTGACCAAGCAATTTTCGGTGAGCTGGAACCAATTACCCAAAAGCCCGTTGAAACAATGGTTTCGGTTAACAAATTTTTCGGTTAACGAGCAACCTTCTGGAACAAATTGTGCTCGTTAACCGAGGGACCACTGTACATCCTTTTCCTTTACTTTATCAAGCCTTTGTAACACAAAAAATACATTGCTCAAAAAAACAAAAAACGTTACTTAAAGACAGTTTAGTTTGCCAAAATTGGTTCTGATGCAAATCTGCTGAATCCCTCAACTGTGTGACAACAAATGCAAGAGGACTCCAAAATATTTTGTGATGTTACGCTGGACAGAACTAATGTGTGGTACTCTATATGTAGGTACACAATTACTTAAATGGAAAATAAACAAACATACATTCAGTGTTACTTTTTAACCTATTACTACACATTATCTCCATTATTATTCATATTTCAATAGAATATTAACAATAAATACAGAGTCTCTTCAGAATGTGTTTTAGATATCCTACATGTACTATACAATATATCATATGGAAGAGGAGACCCATTGCAATATTATTCCTGTCTAAAAATTAATCCCCGATAGAGAAGACAGTTAAAACCACAGTCCTTACAGTCACGTCCATCATCCCCAGACTGACTAACTGACTTGACTGACTGTGATTGAACTGCACCATCATCCCTTGGGGTAGAATCATCCATCCGTCACTCACACTTTAAATAATCCCTTTACACCAACTGACAATGACTAAATATCATTATTGACAGTTACTTACAATCACTTTCTAATCTGGCGGTAGAAGCATGGTGTGGCGTGTAGGGGGGAGGGAAGGGAAGAAGAATGGTGTAATAATTGACCTCCAACAGTGATGACAACAGACGACATATATGACGTCACCTACCAACAATGTATTACTGAAACATTATAATAAAAAAATAATTTACTAATATTTATCAAAGTATTATTATCTTATTTTATTAGTGATTTAAATGAACTTATTATATATTTTATGTATCTAAAATTAGTAATAAATAATATAAGAATATGTCAAAATCTTTGGGAAGTAAAAGTAGGATTTGTTTACCATCTCCAGCAAGAAGTTCCTCTACGAATTTACACAATTAATTCTTTTACTAGGTTAGTAGGAAGAATTACCACCACATACCCATCAAACTTGCCTAATAAGCGTATAAAGAGTGTATTGAGGTAAATGAATCAGTAGTTGGGGGAGACATAAGGGAAGAGGAGTTACAAGATACATCAGCTGATTGTGTGTTGGTCACCAGCGAGGGCGAGTTATGAAACTTTTGGCGGGAAACGTTCAACATGATATTAACAAGATATGGATTAATGACATGATATATAAGACTTAAAATGTCTTATATAACTACTTTGACTATATTGGCAGGTGTTATGGCCTGTTAATAGTTAAATATATTTGTTACTGACGAGTATTAATGGGATGAAGCCACACCCTCACCTGTCAGTTTGTGAAGGGAGAAATTAAATATCAGAAACTATTATTTAATTACTATATAATATTTAATTACCCTTTTAATGTTAATGAGAAGAGTGGGAAAAGTGTGTAGTTTTATTTCTGATTTGTGTAATATAATGTAGATGGAGGTTACCCACTTATAACGGGTAGATGGTAGTTATTCTTAAAACACGTTACTGTACTTATCTCTGGAATTAATTATTACAATAAATTGGTTTGAGCTTTCTTTGTAAGACATTTCTGGTTTATTTCATCTGTAATAAAGTATCAACATTATTATTATTATTATTATTATTATTATTATTATTATTATCATCATCATCATCATCATTATTGCTAATATTATTATTATTGTTAGTTATTATTATTATTATTATTATTTTTAGAGACTGATTAACAGGTTACAAATATTTAATACCATTATTGGCAAACATCTGGTAGCGAACAATCACGGAAATTACAAAGAAAATAACAAGCTTTTCGAATGTTATTCATGGTGTTTAATTAAATCTGACCTTCATTTCTGTCAGACATGAACAATGTGGGCATCTGTTTGATCTTTTCCAGGAGGGGGACAAAATCCCTTCAGTTAAAGTGCATAGTAGGACAAAGTTAGGTTAGGTTAGGTTTATATCCTAGAGGGATTTTGTTCCAGGGAGTTTTTGGCAAGGGGATAGGCTAACCCCCACAGTTGGGTTTAATAGGCTTAATATTTTTTCCCCCAAGATTATAACAGACTTATGATGAGTTTGATACATTAAGTTTATATGATGTCATTAAATTACATGAAACAATTACTGTATATTACAATAGCTTTTATTGTTAAGCTACAATAATTACTGTATAAACATCTTTGTTCAGGAGACACAACCACACATATTAACACCATCCACTTACAACAAAAATGTACACGTGTTTAGAACTTATCCTCAGTGTACATAGACTGACTGCATCACCAGTATACAGTCATAGCCCTAAATAAACATATAAGCTGTGTTTGTGGATTATATCATACGTCAACTTTTGCACTGTACTGTAGGGTTGGACCTTGGAGGCGTAGAATTAGTACATACAAAATAATTGAGCGAGAATCATGAAAATTTAAATACAGAAATAGAGAAGAGGAAAGGAAAAATAACACATTCTTTACATTATTCTTGGTTTCTTGTGCTTCCCAAGAGCTACTGTGCTGTGGAATAAAAACTGCAAGTGTCTTGTCCAAATTTATCAATTATTTTTTGGATGAGTTCTTGTTTATTCTCACAAATCTTTGTTGGATGAACACTCATCATGCACAGTCTAGATAAACAATCTCCTGCCATCATTGATCTTGACCAGATATTTACCCTTGTGCTGAATGATCTCTTCACTGTGCATGTTGTCATGGATAAAGTTAGAGCAATAATGATTCCTCTTTTAATAAAAGGAAAAAGATCAGTGTGTGTGAGCAAACTGTCTCACAGACACCTATGATGAGCAGTTATGGAGATGTGACTACACCTAATACTGACAATTTTGGTTGCACAAAGTGGGCAGGTCTTTGAAGTAGAGGGAAATTCTGCGGTAAAAATACAAAAAATAACTCACCAAACCAAATTTAAAGAAACCTGACCTAACCTAACTTTACCTTTGTCTTGTTGATTTTGCATCATTTCATGAAAGCCAAACTTGTTTTGCTTCACAATAATGGCAGTCTGCGCCATACTTTGGAAACTTAACGGAAGTTTGCAGAACACCATTGGCCTTAAAAATGTCAATAAAGTGAAGTTATTTACAAAAACATGTTGAACGGTTTGCCAGTATGAGAAATAGAACCACCCTTCACACAGAGCGTCCATGTTGCTACTAACCAAGTCAAATTCACAAACCTGAGCATAAGGAGGAGTATCACGTGACATTGTGACTTAAGCTGAGTGGCGGGACAGTCACGGGAGTAAGATATAAACAGTGTCTACGGCGAATTTGTGCTTTTTTAAATCAACTAAAAAACTAAAAAAAAAAAAAGATAACAATATGTGACAGTAACTAAATAGATCATTATCTCCCTATATAAATATCAATATAAAGTTAAGTGGTTGTCCTCTACTGAATCTTAAAACCACTAATATTTGTTTTGGCTGACTGAGGCTGATCAAACTGAGCCAAGATAACTGGATTCAGTCACTTGCAAATTTAATCATCCTAACCTAACCTATCCAAACTTATTAGGTATTTTATAACACGTTATTTCCTGTGTACTTAAGGAGAGATTTATTTATGTATTGTACATTATTTTAAAAGTTTATTCTCAAAACTGATAACCAACTTGAAAATTTGTATGCAGTATTTAAGAATACCATAATATTTACAGTACAATACAGTATTTTGTATATGCATTTGGCAAGCAGATGAATGTAATTTTAAACTCCAGAAAATCTGTTTAATATAAAAAAAAAAATATGCAATAGGACATAATTTCATCCCATTTGATTATGTGACTGATAGCCAAGTACCATATAACCTAACCTAACCTAACCCTGCGTGTTTACAGGTTTGTATCGAGGGGAACTGCAATGGGTTGAACATGGACGATCGACTTAACCAAATGAATGCTGTCCTTCAGGCCATGCAGAAAACTCTCCAGTGTAATATATGGTAAATATATGAGTCTGTCTATAACTTCTGAATACTGGTAAAGAAATTTGATTTTATTCGTGTTTCGATAATCATTTGGGGTACAGGTATATAGAGTACAGTACAAGGTATTGGTGTATAAATCAGAAATATGAATGGCGTGCTTTGTGAATGTACTGTATGTGTGTAGTCTTTCCCTGATATATTACAAGAAGTTTGCTTTTTACACAATAAGTACTGTCCAGCTGTAACGGTTCATTCCAGGACTCTCTAAGATGTCAAATATACCATAAAGAACTAATGAACGCTTCACAGCTTTTATATAACTTGTAAAACATTTTAATATTCAGGTTTTTCAGTATAAATAAAACCTGTTATGGATGCAGAGATGACACATTAGCCTAGAGAAGGCATCCACTGCAGCCTTAGTGTTGTTACAGCTTTACTAAATCAAAAAGTCCAAACCCAAATTTGTAGCAGATTTATGTAAAAAGACTACAGTAGAAGTCCAAAAATCCGGACAGCTTGGGGATTGGGTCGGTCCGGATTTTCGGATTTTCCGGATTCTCAGGCAGTACTTTTAAAATTCAAATTTAAGGAGGAATAAAGAAGAGATGAACAGGTACATTTTGAGAGCTTATTCATAAGCAAGTAAAGCATGCTTCATTTATCAAAACGAGCAGTTTCAAAGAAAAATAAAGTCAACACTTGACAAAAATGTAAACAAACTGTCTAATACCCTGACGAGTCTTGAAATTCCTAAGCCATCCATCACTAAATGCTCACTCTGATTCAATGTTTATTTGCTCCTTAAAAGACTTTGCTTTGGCAATAAGCATCAGCCCATAAATTGCCATACCTTCTGATCGTTTTAACAAAAACCATTTGTGCAACACTTTATCAAGATTTTCTAATTTGGGCCAATGTAAACTTTTTCTTTCAGCAATTTTATTGTAAGGCTCAGAAGAAGTTGTGAATTCTAGAATTTTATTCTTTGCCTTTTTTATATCATAAATTGTACTTTCCAATGTCGTATGTTTCCATTAGATCAGTGTTGCTCACATTACATTCTAGTTTCTTAATTATTTCAAGTTTGTCACTCAGTTTCAACGTGTTCTTCTTTCTCTTCACACGACGAAGTTTATCTACTTTAGGAGCCATTATTATGGGCTTGTACAGTACTCTGTAAATGGAAACAGTAGGACTCAAAATTACATACGTCGTCACAGTTTGATTGCTTGT